AAAACCTATTCGAAACAAGCTAAACTAACAAACATTATAAACAGCGGTTTCTACGATGTGGACCTCAACTAAAAAGTCACCTTTTTTTTTAAACACATCTCACAGTGATGAACGATAGAAAGTTTTGAAATTGCAAAGTATTTTAGTGCAGTAGAGCAGAGCTTGTGGGTTGGTTAGTTCCAATCAGATGATATTGTGGTTTATTAGAAAATTGATATTTTGTCTAAAACTTTACGGATCGCAACCGCCTTCAAAGTTGATTTGCGTAACTTACGGATCTGCGTAGAGCGCATCAGAATGTTTTGTTCGAATGCAAATGTATATATTTCATGGGGTTTGAGAAGCGTACTGGCATGTAACATATTTCGGAGGGTTACAAACGAAGCTTGAGATCTAATATACCAATATCAGTCTGTTGATGTAAGAATTACTTAAGCCTAGCAGGAGCTAATTTTCAATCCGTCTCATAAATCTATTATCCTCAATTCTCAGTTTAATGTTGAATTTATTTGCCAGAAATGACATCATAAACACATGCGTTAGTAACAATATCCGAAAAAACGCAGCGGTGGCGGGAGTAAAGTGTCCGCATTTAAACATTTGTCACCACGGGTGGCTATGTTTTATTGTTGATCATTCATTCATTCGTTGCCCTTAGTCATTGAATACTTTATGGTTAGTCAAACATTTAAAGCAGCATATGTTCATATATAAATGTGTATTTTTGTTTTTTTTTTTTTTTTTTTTTTTTGCAACATACGTATGGATGAAACCAAAAACGAACATAATTCTTTATAGTCTTTTTTTATAAGCGGTTTTTTATTTATATTATTTTGTTTTGTATAGAATTTAATTAAAGTACATGAAATTGCATTACAGAGGCGACAAGACATGTTCATTCATCAAATGTTCGAATAAAACGGTACAACACCAACAATAACGAGCGCTTGTTAACAATATAGCATTCAATTCGATTGAAATCAATTGAAATTGATTTCAACAATACGTAAGCACGCTTTCGTCGTACACGCATTTACAAATACAAAAATATGAAGAATGATATAAGCTTAAGCTTTATTTTATTTATCGTTATTGTTGTTGCTGTCGTTGACCGTTTGACTGACTGACTGTTATATTTTGGTTCATCTCTCACTTATTAGCAGATGTCAATTGCAAGTCGCTTGTTGTCAGAGAGGAAATATTTTTTTTTTGTTTTTCTGTTTTTTTTGTTTAATTGGGTTAAATATTTTTATCGATAAAGCATACGACCGTACATTTTCGTGTTATTTAACTTCACTTAAAAATATTAATTAATTTAATACTTTTTGACACTTAGGTAATTAATTTCTTTTGTGTTTGTGCAACAAAAATAATGAAATATAAATTTTCCATTTTGTTTGTTAATAATTGTGGGAGAATATAAGCAAATATGTGCATATATATATATAGCGTGCGTCCTTCTATATTATGTACATATACGCGTATATCAGGTGGGTGAGAGTGTAGTTATTTCGTTAAATTAAATTTTCTTTATCATGCTGCTATAGTAAACTGGCTCTTTTTATTAATGTTTAAGTACTTTTTTGCATTCTCTCTCTCTCTCTCTCTCTCTCTCTCTTCAACTCGGTAAAATTAAAAAAAAAAATTGAATAAAAAAAAAATGTATTATTTTTGCACAAATTTTTTTTAAATTTTCTTCTTTTATTTTAATTAAAAATTGCTGTTAATGTAATAGGGTAAACTTTTCGGAAACCTGAATAATTCATCACACAATTTGTTTTATCCCTTATCAATAATTTACTCCTGTTTGTGTGATGGTTTGATTAAAAAATTAACTAAAGTGTATGTACATGTGAAAACAAGTAAAATTTAAGAGCGGAAATTGTATGCCATGCATGTAAATGAAGCCACATGAGATTGTTTGTCACAGAAAGTTTTGAGTTAAAAAGAAATTTAAGTTTTTTCTCATGATTAAAAAAGCCATAGTTCGAAGGTAGGCATCACTTGGTATATTCTTCGCAGGCACATCGTCTTTGTCCACAAAGGAATTGATTAAAAGTAATGTTTTATTTATGCTTGAGAGCATTTGCAATGGGGACTCCACGAACGTTTTCTTTTCCTTGGCTTTAAACAGCCGTTAAAAATAAAAAAACAAGAACAAGTTTCATTTCGCTTAAGTCGAATTTCTCCAATTTGCATACGACATGTGATTGCAAGGTAAAGCGGTGACACACCCAATCCATACGACGATCGTGAAACGACAAAATAGGCATCCACGTGTTGTGCATGTATAGCACAAACGTACAAGTCATATTTTGTACAACGTGGCAGCATTTAAAACTTGAAACAATTTAGGGAAGACAAAAAGCTAGCAATTCTTGGTAACTGTGAGTTGCTCATTTTTGTCTTTGACATAAAAATGACAAAAGAAATTTTGAGGATAAAATAGTTTTTGCAGACGAAGAAGTTATGATGAAGGGTCGCACGGACAGACATATCTAAATTGCTTGATGCGGATCAAGGGTATTCTTCATATGCGTATTCGATGCCTATTTTTATGCCTTATGAGCATTGGAATATCAAATCGAATATGCTTCCAATACTTTGGGAACTTGCGCAACAGCAATCGTAAATGCCGCATGAGTAGCCGAGTAGTCAGTGTTCGCGACTCGCGGTCGCAGGGCAGCTTGACTCTACTTGGTTGAGTGCTCGGTCAATAAACGCACAGCGCTTACCAACTTGGGCACACATCCATTATGCCGCGATCACTTCCTGTCTCTTTCGTCTTCAGTTCTTTCTGATCGCATTACACGTAAAGGGGCACTCCATTGAGTAATTGGCAATATTATAAAAAAAAAAAAAAAAAATGGAAAATATATACGTATTATGTATATATATCCTTGTCTCATATTCGGAGCCTGTTTAATGCTACGCTTTCGCGGCTTGTCGTTAAAATGCTGGCAAGTGTGAAAAAATTTAAACATCGAGCTTCAATTTGAATCGTATACTTTTAATTTACGATTAACAATTGGGTCCGCAAATACGCATAAATTTCATGCAATCTTATCGATAGCACAGCTAAAACATTTGCTTACAATCCGTAGGAGAAAAAAATAGTCCGAAGTTTGTTATCAAAGATCATTTAAAGCTTCAGTATACAAACTGGTCCGATTCGCTTTCCGATGCGCCCACAATAAGGAATAGACTATAGCTAATGCAAAATGATTCCGATCGGCCAATAGACTCACTGGCATTTGACAACATATTCGTAGAGATAAACTTTTTTGTACAACTGTAATCACTTCTAAGAACACTTTTTTTACAATGGTTATCCGGCATGCATATTGCTGTTCCTTGCATTGACGCCGTTGTTCGTGGAAAAAAGAATTATTGCGTGTCAAGAGAAGGGTTGATGATAGCTTAGAAGCTACCAAACCAATGTTTTCATTGATCAAACAAACATTCGCTTGCGTTGATACGTGACAAAAATTGATTTAATCTCACGCATAGTATTTTCTTAACTCTTTAAAGGATTGTGACAAAATAATATTCGCTAACCAAGCAATACTCATTCCACTTCTTTGAACAGAAAAAGGCAACAAACGATGTATTTAGGAACTAAGTTCATGTTGAAAGGTCAATGTAATTATTTTTGAGATGATAGGCATAGGCTCAGGGTTTAATTCCGACGTACAAGAATCCTTAAGACAGACAAAGCTATTTGCTGTATGCCAGTACGGTTGATTTTGGACGACTTGCTTTAAATAGACTTCTGTTGCTTGGTATTCAGATCTCAGCTTTTTGCTATAAAGTCCACGGTTGTGATACATATTTTATTTAATTTCTAATTTTTTCAATAAAATTTTCTAAAGAGGAGAGTTCAGGAAAGAGGTGGTGGGAGATGGATAATCCCAATTCTTCCCAAGCTATCAGCTTCGAACGCAAAATCTTAGCAAAAGAAAAAAGGAGCAAAATTTTTAAATATCAGGCAATAGGTGTATATTTCCTCTATGCGATAATCTCAAAAATATCTCATTTTCCTCGCTCAAGTACAAGTATGAAAGAAACGTCAACCATTTGTTTACGCAATCGAATGCATTGTGTTTTTACAAACGCACTACAAATTGCAGCCTTACAGATTAGGATAGTAGGATATATACATTTGGTGCTCCCATTAGAAATGGCCCTCATTTCATACCCATCGTAGAATATCTTGAAATATACTTTTGAAGCCCTTATGTTTGCAAGAATTGGCAGAAAATTGAAGAATGGTCTAACATGTTTCTTTCAAATGCTCAAAGTGGTCACACATACGTTTGTATATATTAAAATTTTTTATTATTTAAATTAACTACTTTGCACTTTTTTTGATTCTGGTATTTTTGCCGTAGTGAATACCAAAAAAGTCGCAAAATAGTATGGATTTAATTTAAATTTAATAGTAAATCACCATTTAAGTCAGCACGACACATTTCGCGATTTTTTATACATTATTTTTTATGCCCTAGACCGCGTGTGGTGCAAGGGTATACAAACTTTATGCGAATGTAGGCAACACGCAGAAGAACTTGGGACAGACGCATCAATTGTTATGTCGATCGATTGAGAAATCGACTTTCGAAATCGACTCAGAAGGTGATTTTGAATCGTCGTGAAGACTACTCAGTCTGTCTGTCCGTCTTGTTTTCTTGTGTTCAACCTGAAGGCCGCAGTTTTTGATGTATTTTGATGAAATTTGGTATATTAAAGCATTTTGTTCCAAGGACGAACGATATTGAAAATGGTCAGGATCGAAACATTTTCTCGATCGGTTCGTACATAAAGCCTTATTTAGAAAAGTCATTATTCAGATATTCATAATGTCTGCATAGGGGTGCAGGGTATTTAACGGTTGCCCACTATAGTGCGTTTATTTTGTTTTAAATATTTGTTATTTTATGTACGGATCCCAATAATATGCTGCGGTATTAAAAAATATAATTTCGATTTTGTTTACTTACATCTTTACTCCAATGCACCACATATGGTATGGGAAGATCATATGGAAAATCAATATAACAATTAAACACCACATAAGAGCCGACTTTCGCTTCCAAATGTGTTGTTTTATGATGATCGTGCCGCACACACCATACACAGGATACACTAATTAAATGAAATAACGTAACAGACGAGAGCAGCAAGAGCGTATGCCAAGAACGTAAGCCAGGCCGATGGCAAAATGACAATTGTTGCGTTTTAAATAATAATAAGAATCGACGTTTCATTTTATTAAAAAAGAAAATAAAAAAAAAAATGAATAGCAAAAGCACAATACAAAAACACAAAAATTTAAGCTGTTTCTCTCTCTTATTTCTTTTTCTTTTTTATAATTTGTTTAACACATTAAATTACATTGCATGTAAAAGAAAAGCATAAAAAATAATAAACAATTTATTTTGATGTGTTATATGTTGTTGTTGTCGTTGCATTCGCGTTGCTGTGGTTTTGGAAATATTCTATTTATGCATCAACATTCATGTGCATGTAACGATTGCTTCGCAAAATATCGTTGTTGTTGTTGTTGTTGTTGTTGTTTTAATATGATTATAAGAGCAACCAACGTTGGGCGTTCGTTCACATATGATCTGACCTTAATGTACATATGTAAGTAACATTTTTCGACTGAACGTACAATGCTTTTAATATAAAAAAATATTTGCCTTAATTAATAGTTAAATGAATACCAGAAGTATAAATCTTGAAATCACTTAATTTCCGATTTGAGTATATTTTCACAAAAAAATGAAAAAAAATATTTCAAGTGAATTAAAGCTTACAATAAAAAACAGTAAAAATAAAAAATATTATAAATGATTAAATTTTATTGATAATCATTTCATCCAAAGTCAAGTAAGGTATGCATTAGCTCTTTATTACAACTTTCAACAGTTGAGTTTGTTACATTGTTTGTTACAATCTTTTATATATGACATTTACAATGTCATAGCGTAGATGGTCTTTTAGGTGACGTTTGTTCGTTGCCGGCATTTTGAACTGACGCAAATAAGAATTTTTATGAAAAATTTCCTACAAATTATTTACTTTGAATCAGTCTAGGGCCCTTGCTTAAATTTTGAATCGTTTGGTTCCACTGCTTTTTCAACAGCAATAATACTTTCGCTTCATCTTTTAAGTGAAGCTCTATAATTGCCCTTATCTGCGGGCCAGTAGATATCTGAACCGCAAACAACTCAGCACACTATTAGTATGTAGAATGACATTGGGGAATCCATGGCATTTTTAATATTATCAGATCTTTAAATAGTAACAAGCTTGAAACGAAGTGTGTTCCAAGTCACAGTTGCTTTTCTTTTTGTAAATTAATGGAAAAATCGGAATGTCGTGCCAGAACGACACGAAATTTTCCAAGGTTGTTACTATCTACAAATCATACGGATTTGTCAATAGTCTTCCGACATATATGCATATCGTTTACGAATTTTTTGAGTAATTTATTGCCTCTCATGGAATGTCCCATTATATCCTATGTTATACTAAACGCTATATATCTCTCATGTGATTTTGCATTATTGCAACTCACTTGTGTGACAGATTTCCCATTTCTATGATTCGTGACTATCAAGCAAGAACTGTGCAACAGGTCAGTGCATTAAATTTCGAACCTATTTAACTATAAAGATTTCAATTGCCAAAATGCTAACATAAACAATTCACGTGACATTCAATGCAGTCTCTAAATGGCATCAAAGAGAGGAAGATAGAATATCATTTGTCTTCGGTTCTATGCGATGGACCGCGATCTTTCTAAATCGATTATAATGTATATATTTACTTTTAAAAAAATGATTTTCTAATGGGCTTTATTTTGCACGTGATTGCTCAGTGACTTTAGCTGATTTCAGTGAAATGCTTTTAAGTGAAAACTTAAGACCTGCCTTACTTAAGACCTTACTGTTCTCAGCCGAGAATTGAGGTGAAGGGAGAAATTGGCAAGCATGTCACTAATGTAAGTAAACTAAGGGCCATTGACGCACTTTTCTTAACGAGAGTTCTGCGTAAAAATTTCAGAACGACTTTGTTTTTCTAGTTTTAAGTTTCTAAACTTTAGAAATTATATTATCGTGATTTAACGTTCTCCTCATTAGAATGATCAAACACACACATGCTCCAGTGGCTAGCTCTGTACGAGATGAGTAATTAAAAAATTCGAAATATCAATTTTTTTTTTTTGACTTAAAGAAAGGCTTTCTATATTATTGTGGATTCAAATGAACAAATAAATAAATAATTGTGTTTAAAAAGCTGCTAACTTTTGGAAAAATTAATGGTTCGCTTCTAAGGCACTTTGTCTGTGTATGAAAGAATTCAATTTAAAATGCATATACGTATCATATGTATATATGTACCGATCGACACTTTTTATGATTCCACAAATTTTTTCTTTAATCCGTTTTTCTAGATATTATTCAATACGAAGACGAAGATAGGTTAAATCTATCCATCTATGTATTTGTCCGTCTGTCCGACCATCTGTTGAAAACTTTATTTTTGCGTATATTTCTTTGTTTTTTTTTTTTTTTTGCTCTGGAAGGCAATTAAAAGTATTCCATTATAAATGCGCGATCATTATCTAGAAATCGCCTAAAAAATGTTGACCCTTTGATTGTATTTTTATTGTTTCTTTCTTATTTTCTTTCGTATGGCAATTATTTCATTGTAGTGATGAAGTTTGTCGAAAAGAACGCGAATATCGGAGAGAAGTGTTTTGATATGCACTAATGTGCAAAACAGGTCAATTGTGCTTAATCACCGCGTGCGATTCTTCCATTATTTATCTAAGTTTACACCTTTTTTGTTGCTGTCGCTTCTTTTTTCGCATTACCCGCACATTTCAATTATTCCAAAGTTTAATTTCCAGTTTGATATAAGAGAATAAGATTATCTTCTTATTCTTTACACTTTACACCTTTTGCTTTATTTTGCTAATATATTAAATAGTTTGCCCCGCTAACAGAAATATCTACGAAACGAACATAAAGACCGCAAGAACGCAACTGATCTCATAAAAATCATAAAATATTTAATCTAGTGACAAGTGCAGCTTTAGCAAAGCTAAGTGATACAATAGTTAGCTAACTACGTTCCATTCCTACAATGATGATGATGATAATATGATAATGATGATGATGATAATGATGATGATGATGATGATGATGAGTACGATCATTATCATGATTATACATTGTGCAACAATATGCAACGTAGATGCAATAAATGTATCGTAATTTATTGTTTATATCAAGTAACAGCCTTAGCTTCATTTAGATTAACTGCATCATCGCGACATGTAGTGATAGAGTTAATACAAACACTTATATTAATGTTTCTTATTTTTATGACGTTCTTATTTTAATTTCATCAAAAATTGTATCTATTAATTTGTTCTTTTAATTTTTAAGTAAATTATGTTTGAACAAAAAATTTCAATTGAGTTAATTTGCTTTTTTCTTCTCTCCTTTCCATTTTTCAGGAAGTCTAGAAGCACATTAAACATTGACATTTGCGCAGGCGTTCTCCTATTAATAAACTCAGTTATTTTTGTTTTTGCATTTATGAAAAATGTATATAATTGTGTGCATGGCTGGCGTGGGGATTGAACTCTTTTAATAAAAAGTCTTATTTCTGGTTCATCTAATAAATATGTTAAGTCATGTTTAAGTTTATGGGAATTATGTGCTATTAGCTTACTATAAATGAACATGGGAATGAATATGAGTCAAGTCGTTAGAATAATAATAGTAATTACTTTTAAAAGCCATGTAAAAGTAAAATAAAAGAAGAAGAAATGGGTTTTTTGTTGTTTTGTCCGAAGGGAGTCTGCCTCCAATTCACTTTCTAGCAGTTGTGATTAATTTATTACATTTCATTAACTTAGACAATAATTGTTGGCAGTTTCCACGTCGACTTGGAAAAATTTTAATCACGTCTTTTCCGGATGCTTTTACATTGATAAATTCTTGATGCATTCTTAGCCATTGGCTGTTAGCTGTTAACATATATTCTGGCTTTCTCTTTCAAATTTTTGTCATCATAAATGTGCTGCAATCGGCCTCAGACGAGCAGGCAGACGAACATGGGGGCGGACACACATATCACGCCTTACCTAGAAAAATCGTCATACGAATAACGGTAGGGTAGGGATGTAGGAAATGTGATGGTTCCCCGTGACCCGCTGCAGTCTTTTACGCCTTGAATATATTATAATACACAACCGTATTCCTTTTTATGCTACAACTTTCCTTCATGTCTGCATAAACTTCAATTTTTGGAAATTTGGTCATTAGTTAAAATCTTTAAATTTCATATGAATGGAATAGTAAGCAATGCTTTTTGCTACATTAGAGAGGAACAAATAAAATTTAACATTTCCATGTTGCATCAACTGAAAACAATTCGCTTCCGACCGGAGCCTCTGGTCCGGATATTTGCAACATTATTGAAATCAGTTTAAATTCTACGAACAACATAATGGATTGATCCGAACAACAATTTCGTTACTGCGTTGCAATCGATGGTACTGAAGCAAATAGAGTATGAAGTTTCGGCTTTTTTTTTTGGATAATTTTATCTCCTTTCAACCACTCATTCAATCACTGCAGTGTCTCCACCCCCCTAAATAATTATAACCATTACTGTTACATTTCGCTGTAGCTTATTTGCATACACTTAATAAACAAAACAATGAACAAATGAACGTATTACGCTATGGACATGTGTTCATTTAACCGTGTTTTAAACGTGGATAAAATTAACGCTCCGAACAACCGCAATACATACACGTTAAGGCAATGTTATAACATTGCTTCGTAGATATGTACAGAGGCATCACCGAGGTAAACATACGCATTTATCTTCAATGTGAATATACGTAATCGAAACCTATCTACATACGGACATTCACAATCCTCATCACGAGAAAAAGAAATGTTCGTGAAAAGAATACAATTGACAAGAATTCTAGTGAAAGTGTTGAATAGTTTGATAATTAACGTTGAGGAACGATATTTTGCTTTTATTTGATCATGTATTTGAAAATGTACGTACCGCGAGTAGATTGATAATAATAACTAATACCGCATTCGTGCAATCTCCTTAGGTGCTGAAATCGAGGGGGGACTTATATCCGTTAACTTGGGTGCGATGTTTAATAACAAGATAAGGGGAAGGTTTATTCACGCCATGTATCGATCGTATGTATGTATCGAAACCATTTTAAATCATTACTTTATAATGCGCTTTACTCGGACATAAT